CATAAACACCTGTCCCTCCAGGAACAGCTGGGGAAGGGCAGCGGGACCAGCCCTGCTCAGGCTGGGTCAGCCCAGGGACAGGGAGCTGGCAGCTGGGAACAGCAACACCTTCAGCTCCCATCCTCTCAGGGAATGCAAATTTAACTACCAGAGCTGATCTTACTAAAGCCCTCTAAGAAAAGCCACATCGCCAGTGGAAGTCGGGCCCAGAATTCCTGCCCAGTGTTTAAGCGGCCCCGTGGAAAGAAGCGCAGGAGGATGAAGCACTCCTTTGTCCCCAGAGCAGGTGACTGCCACGTCAGAACCCCGCTGGCAGCCAGCGGGCGCGGCCAGCCCTGTGCCATGCACACAGAGGCGGCTCTGTGCGGGCTGCCCGTTTCCATGGTTATCGCCCAGCACCTTTTCCAAGGCTGCTCTCCCTCCCGCACACACTGACAGGGAGGGCTGTGCTCCGGGAGCCCGGCAAAGCACAGCGGGCAGTCCCGGCTGAGGCACCAGGCAGGTGCAGCCTGCCCGAGGGGACGGCGCTGGGGCCAGCCCGCATCACCCGGATCACCTGGGGCCAGCCCGGATCACCTGGCGGGAGCTGAGCGCTGCCAGCCCTTGCTGAGCCCTGCGGACAGCAGCCATTGCCAGCAGCAGGCTGGGGGACAGGCTGGCTGAGGGAAGCGGTGTAAGGGGGGCAAGGCCCGCGGCTGAAGCCCAGCACAGCTCCCCTCACAAGCCCTGGGGCAGGAGGATATGTACAGCCCCTAAGCTGGAGGGAGATGAGGGGAGGACGAGCACCGCCAGCACCGAGAGGGTTAAACCAGCCCCTTTACCCGCCTCGCGCCCTCAGCACGCCCCCCCATGACCCACACAGCCGCTCCCCCTGAGGGGGAAGGCAGGAGGAGGGCGGGGGGAGAAGGCAACTCGCCGCTATCGCCCGGCTGCCGAGGCCGGAGGAGGGGAGAAGGGGATAGCACCTCACTTCTCGCTGTTGTTAACGATGACGCCGCCGCCCTCCGAGTGGTTCTTGTTGAGCGCCATCGCCGCCTCCTCCGCCTCCTCCTCACAGCATCGATCCCGCTCTGCGCCTGCGCGGGAAAAAAGTGCGCCGTCAATGGGACCGAGTGGCATACTGGGAGTTGTAGTCCTAGCCATCCATGCCGTGGGTCACTTCTGTTTCTCCGCACAGTGCATCCTGGGAGTTGTAGTCCACCTCGCACAACCCTACCACTGCGCCATTTGCCCCGCGCGGAGCATTCCGGGAGCTGTAGTCCGCCCATGCACGCTATTAACACTCTCCGTGTCGGTCACGCGATGCATGCTGGGAGTTGTAGGCCGGCCGCCATGATACCCCCCCTCGCCTTTCCCCGCCTCAGGGCCCGCCGCCCTGTCTTCTATAACTGTGCTGTTTGTAAAATAAAAATAATCCCGGATATCTGGCGGTTCTGCACATGAAATGAGGTTTAGCCCCTTAAACGGCGAAGATGCTTCATTTCCCACGATTTTTTAAATTCCCGCATTTCCCGTTTTGCACATTTGCAAACAGAGTTTTGATGCTGTTACTGGCTGCTTTCAGTGATGGAATCGAGCACATCCAAATAATTATCCCTTTATATTGAAGTGTGTTTAACTAGGAGGACTAAGTGGTTGCCCTGTAAACAAGCCAGTGTCTGTGTGTCTCTATGTCGGGAATCTGGGAACAACAAAATTGCTGTGGCATCTGCAGATCTGCAGGAAGGGTCCAAACTCTGACCTCCAGGAGTGCAAGCAGAAGGAATTAAAAAAATTAATGATTGCATAGCTTCATTAAAAATAAGAACTTGCAAAACTGATTGAAGGGCTCCCTCAGATCAATAACTGGCAGGTGCATATTAATAATAAAAAAATAAAAAATAAAAAAATAAAAGCATATATTACCCTGTATTATGTATTTTAGATCGATCTGAGCTATTCCCTGGATTTGCAGCCCAGTCCTGTCTGAAAACCAGACGCGGGTGGGGGGAAAGCACAAAAACGACATAATGGAAACCAGATTTAAATAAATGCAGTGACATAATCTGTATGGTTTCTTGGCAGGAAAAGAACAAGTTTGTGCTTTTCATATCCGCTTTTTCAATAAGCAGTAAGTTTCCCTTTTAAGAAACAGCCATAACAAACAGTTCTGATTCTTCTCCTATTAAAGTCAGGAGCAGAATCCGCTCAGCTCTCACAGAAACACCCAGATGGAGCATTGGCACCTCATATGAACTAAGGCTCACCAAATAACATTTTTATCCTAACTCCAATTGACATTTGGGATTAAGAAAAGCAGCCTTCACTTAAAAAAGATGCTGCTGTAATTGCCAGTATGTGTGAAGCTATAGACCTCCTCATCACACAGAAAACCTTGGAAATTTATACTCTAAAACTTAAAAACACTAAGGAAAAATACCTAATCTGATAATCTTTTTTATTTTTAGGATGAGGACAGACATAGCAGAGAGAACTGAGCCAATTCATTGTTTTGAATTGCCCAGGGCTGACAATTATTATTGGATTTTAAGGTTCTTCCACTCCTTTTGCAATAAAAATGTGAATGTGGCAGAATTCCCTTGGACACACTTGGAAAATAAAATCTGTGTTATTTTATTCCAGATGTACAGGACACAGAAAAGTAAACATAAGATAATGGGACAAGTCAAAGGGTTTGATATTTAAAGGAAAGACAAACCAGGGCAATGACTGTGTCATATTTAATGGTCAAATCATAGTCTCTAACACCATTACATGATTCTGTTACAGTTTTTTCACACACTGTAAAACACCCTACAGTTACTGTATTTAAAAAATCCTAATTAAAAAAAGGAACACTCTGTGACAGCAGAAATAACCCAAGGGAACAAGGAAAGGCTGTTTAAATTGCCAAGTGCTATTGATCCATCTCAACTCATCTCACCCTGCTTTTAACCCTTTGTTAAATCAGGGATCCAGAGCTGGCACAGTGCACACTCCCTGACCCTTCCAGTTTACAAATCCCTGGCAGCACAGAGCAAACTCTGACCCAGCTCCTGAGGGGATTGCTCCTCTTTTAAACCATCCCTGAAGCAGGAGGGTTTTTAGCAGTCCCAACCAGGAGAAAAGCAAGCAGCAGGAAAGAGAGGCTTGGGCAGCACCTCCCAAATGTGGCACATCCACAGGAGCCCCCTGGATGCTCCATGGAGCTGATCCATGAATCCCCCAAAGCAGCAGCACAACCCCACACCATGCCAGACACCCCAGGGGCCTCTGGAGCTGCTCCCAGGTGGTGGCAGGGTGGAAGGAGAGGATCCCTCTGAGCTTCCCAAGCCCTGAGGGAGGTCAGAGGTTTGTGCCCGTGCCTTGGGAAAGTGGAGGAGGGTGGGATGAGTGGCTCCAGCGTGGGTTTCCCCTTGGAGCAATCAATCCACCTACAGTGAAACCAAACAGGGCAAAGACCCAGATCTGCTGTGTTTACTCTGGCGAAACTCCTCGCTGCAAACTGTGGGAGTTTCGCCTGAATAAATTGAGATTTGGGGCGCAGACGTGGGAGATCTCTTCCTGCAGAGAAGAATGTTCCTTCCCTTCCTTGTGCTGCCAGGATGTGACCATGCACAGGGGCACAGCCCTGCCTTTCTCCTGGCACCAGGAGCTCCTGCCACCCCGTTCTGCCACCCCTGGGCACAGCAGCCTGCTCTGTGTCACCCGTGCTGACATCCCGTGCAAGGGCTGAGCTCTGGCGCCAGCCAAACAAAGAGGGTTTGGAGCTCAGGACGCAGGGAATGAATTCCCATCCGGACAGAAGTCTGGGCAGCGTTCCCACCAGCCAGGAAAGGCCAAGATTTCAGCTGAAGATTTCATTCTGGAAGCCTCACTGTTCCTTTTCACGCTGCTTGCTGGGTTTAGGAGTCACCTCATGCAGGGGAGGAGGAGGAATTTGCAGACAGATCCCAGCAAGCCCCTTCCCAAACTGACTCACCAGCCTTGCCCCAGGGAAGGGGTGGCTGCATTCAGACCTTTCATCCACTAAAATATCCTAATTTTCAGGGCATTGGCAGCTCTTCCTGCAGCAGCAGAAACTGGCAGCTCTGGCAAAGGAGTCACAGTTAAGGAGCTCTTTGAGCCTCAGCATGTAAACGTGGCTTTAACTTCAAACCTCCCAGCTTTGTGCCTGCCTTTCATTCACATTCACATTTTTCCCTTGGCTCCACTTGAATATAGCGCTAGATTTCCAGCTTATCCTTTGGGGAAAAAATATATATAATCTCATATATTTAGCTGAATGGGCTGTTTATTATTCCTGCTGGTTGTTGCATCATCCCTGACTCACTCATGCCACTGAAGAACCTGACTCTCTGTATTTTCTCTCCAGGTGTACATTACACAGCACCACGGTTCTGTAAAGCAAGCTTTGGGAGGTAGGTAGCAAAATAACCCTAGAAAAAATAAACTTTGGAAAGGCACGCTGTGCTGAGACAGGGGCTGCTCTGTGCTGCCCTCACAGGCAGTTATTTCTGTGTTTTCTTTCTGAAAAAGCTCCCTTAGGACATGTGAACTGGCAGTTTTGTCTCTCAGCCTCGAGTTTCCACCTTTCCTGAAGGGAACAGTGTTCCCTCTCGCCTGAGAGTAGTTTTTGTTAATTGTTACTTATTCCCAGAGTCCAAAGGGTCATTTGGTAGCTGAATGATGCTGCACCTTTATGGAGGCACTCACAGCTGTCCTAGAATACTAAACCAGACCATTTATCTCTGGGACATATTCACAGCACCGCCGTCACTTAAAAATCTCTAAGCTAAGGGGCAGATTTTCAGCTCAAGTGTGCCCAGGGTTGGTGTTTAACAGTACTAAAATCCCCCAGACAGTAATGTCATCAAAAACATGGGGGAGAATTTGGCTGTAAAGCTTTGCTAAGAATTGCTAACAATTCCAAAGAATGTGTTTGCTTAGAGCACGTCCTCAAAACTTGGTTTGTGCTGTTCCCTCCCTCACCTCCAGGTGGGAACAGTGCTGCTGCCGGAGGTTTCTCCCTTTCCCAGCCGGACAGAGATCCTTGTTTCACATTTGCAGCACTGACGGGTGAGCAGCCCTGCAAGGAGAGGTGCTGCATCGCCCCAGCACCGCCCCAGCACCACCCCAGCACCAGGCTCCTCCACATCCCTCTCCCTGGAGCACCATCTCGCCCATGCCAGGGCACAGAGGTGATGGGAAGGGACCATGTCTCCTTGGGGGGTTCACCTGGTCCACACAGGGCTTGCTCCATCAAAGGCACTTCGTGAGGAGCATGCAGAAGGTGACAGTGAGGCAGCACTAAAAAAAGCATCAGGAACAGAGCCTGAGATAAGGCACAAAGCATCTGCACAAGTCGCCGGGGCAGAGCGAGCAGAGGTGAAGCAGAGGGACTGGGCAGGTGGCCAGGGCACAGCTCCAAATCCATGTGGCACTTGCGAGCAGCACACTTTACCAAGAAAGGCTGTGGCAGTCCCCGATGTCCAGAAAGGGAAGCTGAGGGGCAGCAGGGAGCAGCACAGGGACTGGCCCAAGCTCGCTCAGGGGCAGAGCTGGCACTCGGATCCAGCCCCGTCCTGGCCCCCAGCCCTGCCCATCAGGAGCCCCCATCCAGCCCTGGGTCCCCAGCAGTGCAGAGAGGAGGGAGGGCTGCCACAGAGACAGACAGGGCTACCAAGGAGAGCTGGCAATAACCTGCAGGAGAGGCTTCTGTGGGTCTGTCCGTGCCCCTGTGCCCGGGCAGTCACCGGCGCTTCAGCACCGACACGCAATCCTTCTTCAGCGGCCCGATCTGCAGGTGGGCGTCCACGCTCTCCAGGAAGAAGGCTGGCTTCAGCTTGCACGAGAACAGAGAGGCAAACTGCCGGTTGATCTTGTTCTGGAACGGGTCAAGCTTCCCCTTGGCAGAAGGGGAGACCTTGAGCTGCTGCAGGCAGGTCATTTTGGAGTCCTTGACTCCGTAGAAGGTCAAAGCCTTCTCGGAATACTCCAGGAAGACGCCGATGGTGTGGAAGAAGGGCTGCTGGATGGGGCACTCGAAGCCACCAAACCAGGCCACGTAGTTCTGGCCGTTCCACTGCAGGCAGCAGGAGCTGTCGTTCCTGCCCAGGCGCCCGTGGCTGTACGCCTCCCGTGGGTCGAAATCCTCGGCGATGACCCCGATGCTGACCCAGCCGTCGATCAGCTCCACCTCCCAGTAGTAGTTACCCCTGTTCATGAGGTTCAAGCCCAGCACCTGCTCGCAGTTGATGAAGCGGGTGGGGCTCTCCGGGTAGGGGATGGGGCACAGCACCCGCTTGGCCCCCTTGGTGCCGAACAGCTGGATGAACTTGTCAGCCGTGTCGCTGTCCAGGTCGATGATGAAGGCAACTGTGAGGGGTAAGAGGGAGAAGTGAGCATGTGGAGGGAAGTGCAAGGAAGTCCTCCCTGTCCCAGCCTTTAATGATGAGCATGATCCTTTCCCATCCCTCTGTCCCCTTGCTTTAAATCCCATGACAAATTTCAGGCTGAATTTTCAAGGCTGAATTTTCAATTCATCCCCCATGAGCAGGATGAATACAGGTAACAGGGCAGAGGGGCTGCTTGATGAGCTCAACTGTGATACCAGACATTGGAGAATCCACCTGACAGACTGGTGGTAAGGAAATGGCACATAAAAGCATATTTCAGGTAACCATAGATAAATGCAGTTGAGAGAGACCCCAAGAAGAGAGAACAGCCAGGTATGCCACAGCTTCAAACAGGCAGCCCCCAGCCAGTGTGGCCTTGGGTAATGTGAGAGCCACTGATGGATCCCAAACAGAGGGGATGCCCAAGGAAGTTCTTCCAGGGAACAACCCTGGGCATGGATCACATCAACTGCATTGCAGTCTGAACCATGGCATGGCCCAGTCTGACAGCAGAAGAGCACACCCTCCTTGAGCCCAATTCTTCTGCTCTGTGCCACTGAGGCAGACCTTGTCCCCTAAGGACACATCAGTAGGTGATCCCATATCCCCTGTAAGGCTGGGGACACACAGGTGGGGTGTGGGAGCTCAAGCCCAGCCCTGCACCCTCCAGCCCCACTCTGCTCCACCACTGTGTGATCCCTGCCATTCTGCTGCTGCAGACAACCCTCACCAGCCCAGGGTCCTGCAGCAAACAAGGCAGACAAACACAACACACAAACTCTGGTCTAATTTAAAGAGGATCCAAATCTCCAAGGGCTGGGAAGCAGCAGGAGTTACACAGCATGCTTGCAGCGCCCCTGGGGCAGCTGGGCCAGCAGAACCACAGACAAGGGAAAAAATCCATCAGCTAACCAGGCTCTGGCTGTTGTCAGGAAAGCCAGGAGGCCTCCCTGTTAGGCAAGCAGAATTTCCTCTGCTGGTGGCAGAGCTCCCACAGCAGCTGGATCAGCGCCGGGCAGGCGGGAAGGAGAGAGGAAAGGGAAGATGGGCCTTAGCAACAACCCAAAGCAGAAGTCCCCATCAAAATAAATAAAATACCACCAAACCCACGAAGAAAAAGGTGAAGGAGAAGGACTAGTCACTGCCTTAAAACCTCTATCTTAGCTTTATATATATTACTATATTCTAAAACCTTAAACTCTAATTTTTCTATTATGTGATGTTACACACTTCATTGAAACTACACACCCCTAATCCTAGTTCTGTTATTTAAATTTGGAAGCCTTTCTCCACAGCCTCAGGTTAAATGTAGAGTTCTCTTGGGGGTCTGTGCCTTTCAGCACAGAAAGCCCAAAACTCTCCGTACCCAGGGTTCCCACACCCCACTTACATTTCAGGAAATAATCACGGCTCTCCAGGCAGGCAGCATTGTTTGACTTGTCTGGAAATCGGGATTCAGCCAACGCTGCAGAGACAGGGACAGAAGGGTTTGCATCAGCAAAGGAACCAAACCACCACCAAGGGGGCACCTGGAGCATTGTCCCCTGCCCCTGATGGCACCCAGCTGTCACAGCCCCTGCCAGCATCCCCACTCCCCCTGCACATCCCCTGTGGCTCCCACACAGGAAAGGACAGACACCACTGTTGTCACCCCAGGGAGGTGGGCAGCGGGGCAAGGAACCAGCTGCAATTCCCATGGGCATCCCAGAAAATGAGAAAGGAGAGAGCTCAGGTTCAATGAGACAGCAAGGGAGAGAGCTGCCACATCAGCTCTCTAACCCTGGCATGTTTGGGAGCCCACAGCCTGCCCTGTGAGGAGGTCTGTCTGTGCTGGGAAGAAGAGTCCCCTTTCACAGGAGGCCACTTTGGCCACCTGCCCCCTCCCACAGGCCCTGCCTAACTCCCAGGCTGTTTGTTGCTTCTCCAGTCTCCATGGAAAAATTCACAAAACCTCAAAGAGGCGTAAGCCCAGACAGGGATTGTGCAACGTGCAGGGAACCCGTGCTGAGCAGCTTCCAGGGCTGGAAGGACAGGGGCCAGCACTCACAGGGCCATGCAGCCACCTCCCACCCACACAGGGAAGAGGGAAAGGGACAGGGAACCCTCCAGGCAGAGGGGATGGGGGAACACAAACCTTCCTCCATCTCCTGGCAACTCAATCCATCAACTCCTTTCCCCTGCAAGTGGTTCCACTGGTTTTTGCAGGCGGTGGACAGCACATCCTTCATGGCACCCACGGCTTGGGTGCACTTGGTGAAGTTCAGCTCTTTCTGGAAGCTCAGAGGTGGAGAGAGGTTTTCCTCCATGGCTGCTTTCAAGGCCTGAAATTCCTGAGCCAAAAAAAGACAGAGTTTCAGGAGGTTTCAGACAAGCCAAAGTTGTCTCTTGTTCCAGGACCCCACCCGGCCCTGGAGGATTTGGGATCTGGCAGCTTTCAGGACTTGGCCCAAGGACAGCATAAGGGAGGAGAGCTCTTTCCCAGCCACGTGTTCCTGGCACCTTCTCCTCACTCCCTTTCAAACCCAGACTCAGACCATGCCCACCTCGCAGGCAGCAGCATCTCCTCCCTAAAATGTCTCCTCTTGCTGGGCTCCCAGGGAGGAAACAGTAGCACCCCAAACTCTTGCTCTCCCCCACACCCAGGTACCCCCTTGGGCAGCACATCAGCCTGTCCTGGGTCAGACAGGACAGAAGTGGTGGTGATGGAGGGGAAAATCTTGGATGGCTGGTCCCCCTGGGAGAGGGCAGGGGAGAGGACTGTGCCAGTGAGACCCAGCAGCCTGCACATCCCAGGGTTCCTGGCGCCCAGCTCCATGGGAAATGGGACAAAAGCCCAAAACACAACATTGCCAGCTCCTTCTTGCCCCATCCCACCTGGAGGAAGTAGATGGTGTCGGTGCTGGGCACGTTCTCCAGGCTCTGCTTGCACTGTGCCAGCTTGGCTCGTCTCTGTTCCTTCCAGCGCAGATCGGCCTCGGCCTCCCCCAGCATGGAGCGCTCCCCGTCCTCGATGAATCCCAGCACCTCCTTCTGGAAGGCTGCCAGCACCCCTGAGGCCTCTGCAAAGAGCTTCTCAACCCTTTCCCTCTCCTTTGTGGCTGCACCCTGAGTGCAGGGAGAGAGGTGTCAGGTCAGGGTGCAGGAGAGCCACACTTGTGCCCTGCCCAGCTCGCTGGAATCCCCTGACACTCCATCACCCCTTTCACCCAGGAACTCAGATCACTTCACAGTGCAGCTCTCAAGAGACCTGGCTGGGCAGTGCCACTCACTGCTGCACCACATTTGGTGTCCCCAAGGAGGAAAGTGTTTGCACAAGGGCCAAAGGGACAACCACCCCATGAGCCTGGGGAGAGAGGATGCCCTTGCATGGACCTTGCCCTGTTCCTTCTTCCATTTAAAAACTAAAGCAACCAGAGATGCCAGGAGCATTAGCAGAGATGAGGAGAAAGAATCCTCAGGGGTCTTTGCCAGGATCACCATAGATTCACGGTGCTCCTGTGAGCATCATCTTTACAGCCCATGCACCCCAAAATCTCACAGCCCCTTCTCCTCCGCCCCCAGCCCAGCAGAGCTGCAGCAGCAGAGCAAAGGCATTGCAGAGTCACCTTGATGAGCTCCACCATCTTCTTGGCCTGGGTGATGGTGACTGCCAGCTCCTCCAGCTCATTCTCTGCATCACTCAGGAATTTGGCTTGCTGGGCCTGCAGACATGAAGGACAAACACTGAGCTTTACCCCCAGTGCCAGTGGGGGCCCAGGGCATTCAGCCTCTCCCTCAGCTCGATCCACAGAGCCTCTCTGACCGTGACCTCGCTACCAGGCTTGGGGTGAAGAATGCAAGGGGAGCCACGAGTTGTTTTCCTGTTTTCCTTCCCTGCAACATTCAACCTGCAAACATCCCTTCTCACTCAGCTGGAAAACGAAAGGGTCATGTCCAGTTCCATTTCTCCACCCTGGTCCCAGCGGAAACCAAACAAAACAGGAATTTGAAAGCAAACCCATCAGGCAGTGATTGCAGCTAAAACTGCTCTTAGTGAGAACCCAGGGCTGGGAAAAATCCACCTGGGTTTGGTGCAGAAGCTGAAAGGCAGGCCTGGAGCGCTCAGAAACTCAGCACAGAGTCCCCTGGAGGTTTCTGTTTAGGAGCAAAGCAAACCAGCTCCGGAGCACGGGCTGCAAAGGAAGCACCTTCCGAGCACGGCGTTTCCTGACACGCTATTGTTGGCTCATCCATCGCCCATGACGAGGACGGGTCCCTCGGGAGCCGGGAGGGCGCTCCCCAGCCAGAGCTCCCAGCTGATGCTCAGTGCCCGTTCCCGGGGAGCAGCTCCAGGGGCTTTCCCCGTGCATCCATCCCAGCCCGCAGCCCAGGGCGGTGGCCGAGGGCAGGCACAGAGGTCCTGCAGGCGACATTAAGCAGCGCCTGCTGAGGTCTGACAGCTCCTCAGGGCGGGGATTACACACACTTTCTATTTTAAGGTGCCCCATGACTAATAACGCCGATAAAAGGGTTTTCCTGCAATCCTAGCAGCCCATCAGGAGGGGGAGCTGGTTGGGGCTGGGCTACTCCTTGGAAAAGGCAAACTCTCCCAAGGTCTCCAAATGCCTCATGGCCATGCGAGATGCCAGCACACCGCGAGCCTCACAGGTTCCCACCTGCCTGCAGCCCCACACTTGCAAGGCAGCAGTGCCCACGAAGGCAGCACCACGTTGGGACTGGAGCCCCGGCTCCTGGGAAGGCTGTGGGTGTGAGTTTAGGAGGTGACTCAGTCACATCTGGGAACGGGAGTGATGGAAAAACCCGCGCTGCCAAAACGGCAGGACACAAAAGGCTGGGGCAGCGGGAGCGGCGGCCGGGCCGGCTGCCAGCGCGGGCGAGCAGCGCCTTGCCGGGGCTGTGGGAACGGGACGGGAGCGCGGGGGCGGCCGCTCTGGGGTGTCCCGGGCAGCCTCGCCCCAGCCCTGCACCCACGGCACTGCCAGCTCGGCTCCGCACCGGGAAACTCCCCCGGGATGCCCGGCAGCGGCTCTGCCCCGATCCCCGTCCCCACCTGCCCATCCCGCCCCAGGCCCAGGGCTCCCCGATGGCGCAGCACCCTGTCCGTATGTTGGGGTGCAATTCTCCTAGGGTGAGAGTACAGCACCCCCCCGCCACACGGCATCCCACCGGAGCTGCACCTGCACACACCGCACCTGGGGGCTCCCCGTGGGTGCAGGATGAACCCCTCCGAGGGATGCCGCGCCTCACAGCACGCCCGACACCCCCACACCAGGGTCCCACCCGCGCGGGGACCTCCGCGCCCTCCCCACCCCGCACCTGCTTGTGCTCTCGCTCCTGCTCGAGGGGCACCACGTCGTGGGCGCGGTGCTCGTGGGCGCGGCAGCGGGAGCAGACGCAGCTCTGCTCGGTGCGGCAGAAGCCGTCCAGGGGCTGCAGGTGGCGGGGGCACAGCCCCTCCTCCAGCCGCCGCAGCGGGGCCACCAGGCGGTGTGCGCGGAAGGCGGGGGCGCGCCGGTGCGGCTCCAGGTGCGCCCCGCAGAAGGACGCCAGGCACACCAGGCACGACCGCTCGGCCGCCACGCGGGACCCCGGCGGGCACACATCGCACAGCACCGCCGCGCCTTCCTCCCCCGCAGCATCCTCCTCCTCGGCTCCCGGCGCCATCGGGGACGCGCCGGCCGGGGACGTCGGGGTGGCGGCGGCCGAGGACGACGGGGACGAGGCGCCGGTGGCGGCCGCCAGCAGCGGCAGGAGCTCGCACAGGGCGCGGTTCTTGCAGAGGCGCAGGGCCGCGGGGACGGGCTCCTGGCACAGCGGGCAGCGGGCGGCCCCGCCCGCCCCGCCGCCGTCGGGGGGGCCTGGCCGCTGGCGGAGCGCCTGCAAGCAGCCCTGGCAGAAGTTGTGTCCGCACGGCACCGTCACCGGGTCCCGCAGCACGTCCAGGCAGATGGGGCAGCACAGGGGACCCTCGGGCAGCCCCGGAGCCGCCAGCGCCAGCCGCAACGCCGCGGCGGAGGACGACGGGGCGCTCCCGGGCGCAGCATCCATCCCTGAGCGCCCCGAGCGGCCCGGCCCCGCTCCCAGCCCCGGCGGAGGCGGGCGGCAGCCGCGCCCCGCCCGCCCGCTCCGCCTCCCGCCGCCGCGGCTGGGGCTCCGCTCCCCGCCGTGCCCTCGGGGCTCTGACCCACAGCATCGCCCCGGCACCCGGCCCCAGGCGTGTGGGATCTGCTCCCGTCTGCTCCTTCTCCCTGGCATGGGCCGCCTTCGGGGAGATCAGCCCCGAGGGGATGTCACCCTGCTGAGGATGTGCTGTCCCCCACCCAGGGTCTGCCGCCTTCGAAAGGATCTGCCCCACGGGGATCTGGGCCCTCCCCAGCGTTCCATTGCTCCCAAGGGAAGCTGCTGACTTTCCCTCAATCTCCCATTCAGGGAAGCTGTTGCCAGCCCATTCCAGCCCCCCTCCCAAGGACCTGCTGCTCCCCTGGAGCATTCCTTCCCCCTCTAGGACCTGCTGCTACTCCACTGCTCCCCAGGTGCTCCCCACCATGGGGAAGTTCCTGAGCCCCCCCAGTGCAGAGGTGCAGGTGCTTTTCTGGCAGCCCTCGTGTCCAAGGACTACACCAGCCCTCCCCATGGCCAAAAGGGTCTGCAGTGCCCAGGTCTGGCTCACTGTCCCCTTTTCCTCTGGGGTCTGGCAGGAACTGGCAGGCACCAGAGGGCTGGGAAGCCCCAAAGTGCTTTTAGAGCGAAGATCTGCCTCACAAGATCTCTGGATCCTTTTTATGCAGGATACACGGACAATTTTTGGACTTGGATAAGTTCCCAGGTGCATGCAAGGCCTCACCCAAGGACAGGGCTGCGAGGAGCAGGGAGGTGTTGAGTGAAGCAGGAAGCACAAAATAGATCATATCTGTCCTTGAAGAAGAGGACTGAACCTTTTAAGCGTTTTGTCCCCAAAGGAAAAAATGATGTGATTCATTCCCCAGGCATTCACATCCCCAGCACTTCTGAACCCAGTGCCCAGTTTTACCCTGTTAATCCTCACCAGCATTCCCACAGGAGCCGGAGGAGACATCGGACCTGCAGTCTCGTCCTTGGAAAAACATCAATGAAAACTTTAGATTTTCTTCTGTGCCTGTGGATGCCATGGCACAGAGAGAGAGAAATGGCAGGCATTTCTCACCGTGGCTTGTGAGAACTTCCAGGGAGTTGTAAGGAAGTTGTTTATAACTTGTTAGTATAAACAATCTGCAGGTTGTGTTCTTCTACTTCGTCTTTGTGTTCTTCTCAAAGTCGGTGTGTGAGGAAGGTGTTTTTGTTAAGTAGCCAATCAAACAGAATGTATGGTATCACCCCATATAAACCGCGCGGTTCTCTTGAATAAAGCTTTCTTTGTTCTTTCTACAATCCTGCCTCTCACCTGTTCCTGTGTCACTCCCGGCGCAAGGGTGACACCTGGTGACCCGCCGTGTGTGCTGCTCCGGTGCCTTCGCAGAGTGCGGCAGACCCCCGGGCCCCCCGCCGGACCCCCCGGGCTCCCTGGGTCCGGACCCCCTTTGTTTCCCCCAAAGGCACCGGCCTTTCCCCGCACCCTTCCCCCGGGCTTGCTCCGTGGGGCTGCCCTGATAACGGGACCTGCGGGACTCCCCAGAGCGTGGACGGCGCCTGAATTGCTGGGGCTGGGTGCCGCTGTTTCCGTCATGGGGGATTGGCATGATGACGACAACAAGGATTTTTCTGTGTGGAGGCACCTCCTTTTCTATGGGGGGTCCTCGGTGCCTGACGCCTCGTTGATCGACCTGTTTGTGTGGGCCAGGACTCCTGCGCTCCCGATGGGCATGGCCGTGGCGTTTGACCTGGGCCGGTGTCAGGAGCTCTGTGCTCTGCTTGCGGAGGAGTTTTACAGAGGGGATGATGCTGTGCCCCCTCTCCTGGCTGTGTGCGACACGCTATGCGCGGCGCTCCGGGGCCGGGCCGGAGGTTCGGACAGGGGCGGTTCGAGGGGCGGGGGAGCGGCCGGCGCTTCGGACAGACAGACGATCGTGGGGTCGCGGCTCGCCGTCTGTGCGGTGTTCGGCCCCCCCTCTTTGGGGGGTTCGCTGCGGCAGAAGTTACGCCTTTCCTCGCCCCTGGTGCCGAAGAACCGGCGTTCTCCCGGTGCGGTGCCTTTCCTCGCCCCTGCTCCCGAAGCCGCGGGATCCGCCGGGCCCACAGCAGCCCCGCCTTTCTCCCCCCCTGCCGTTTGGGTCAGCATTCTCCCGAACCACGGGGGCCGCAGTTCCCGGTGCCGCGGGCCCCTCCCGAGCAGCCGGACCGGGCTCGGTCGGGCTCGGTTCCCGCCCCGACGGCTGCCAGGACCCCGCGGATCGCTGCGGCAGCTTCCCCGTGGGCAGCGGCGGAGCCCGCACAGCTGCACCGGCCGGGCCCATCGTGGCGCCAGCCCCAGCCGGTGTCGCGTTCCCGCCCGGTTTTCTCCTCCTTCCCCGTGGCTCCTGCACTGACAGCCGTGGCTGTGAGTGCGGCTCCGGCACCGTCTGTCCGGGCGGTAATTCACGCAGCGGGCACAGTGCCTGTTCCTCATTCCGGCGGGGCGGCCGCTTCGGGTGGCTCGGTGTGTTTTACACCTCGGCCGGGCAGCCTGCGGTGCCGGGGATGCCGTCGGCTCCGGCTGTGCCGCCGCTGCCCCGTCTCAGGTGGCCGGTCCGCCGGTGTCCCGGCCTGTGACTGTCCCTTCGGGTTCGCAGCCGTTCGGATCCGGACCCCTCTATTAAGGTGCCACCTCCTGTGACCCGCTGGGCCCTCCCCGTTCCTGGCTGGGCACTCGGGCAGCGCTGATGACCGGCGGCCGGTCCCCCGTTGGGGGCATGCTGCGGCGGGAAAGGGCCGGCAGCGGCGGGAGGAATCGGCCTCTGCTCGTCACCGCTGGACACTGCCTCCCTGCAGGGTGACTGACAACCCCCGCAGCTTTTGGGACGCGGTTAAGACACGGGGCTCGGAGGATGAGGGTCTGTTGGGGGGAGCGGGAATGTCACGGTCTGCCTCGGGGAAAGAGGAATGTGGCCAACAGGCAACCTTTGAATGATGACCAAGATAATGACCAAGATGACAACCATCAATCAGATGGCCCTTCCATGAGTGGGGACTGAATTTCATCCTGTTTTCTGAAAAAGACTGTTATGAATTAGAATAAGTATATGACTTCGAATCGATAGTGTATTTTGTGAGACGATCACAAGACCCAATCTCTCTGGCCATTACAATCTGATCTGATGGAGGGACCTCTGGAGCTGTGTTTGTTCTCCTTCCTGCAAGGAGGAGACTGCAAACACTGCCTCTATCTTTAAACAAAAAAGGGGAACCTATGGATGCCATAGGACAGAGAGAGAGAAATGGCAAGTGCTCCTCACAGCAGCTTGTGAGAACTTCCAGGGAGTTGTAAGGATGTGATAACTTCTTAGTATAAACAATCTGCAGGTTGTGCTTTTCTACTTCATCTTTCTGTTCTTCTCAAGGATGGTGTACGAGAAAGGTGTTTTTGTTAAGTAGCCAATCAAACAGAATGTATGGTATCACTCCATATAAACCCCGTGGTTCTCTTGAACAAAGCCTTCTTTGCTCTTTCTGCAGTCCTGCCTCCCTCCTGTTCCTGTGTCATTCTCAGCACAAGAGTGACATGTGCCAGACCAACCTTGGAGCAGAGCAGTAGGAAACCAGGTTTCCTTAGCACAGTAAATAAAGCACCTTCAGGCTCTGCTGGTCGCCCCAAGGGTTGGCCATGGGCCCCATGGGGACATGGAGGGGCAGGATGGGGCCCTGCAGGGATGGCTGTCAGAGAAGGGGTACCCAGCTGCCCCCACCCCCAGTGCTGCGGGGTCCCACATCTCCCAACAGCAGCAAGAAAGAAAGCAGCAGTAAGAAAATAAAGATTTATTGGGAAAAGCAGCATCGTACAAAGAGCTGCAGCACAGAACCCAACCCTGAGAAGTTGCTCTGCCTGCTTGAGAACAGCAAGAGGAACCCAAGAAGGGGCTGGGGGGAGCAGGAGCTGCCTGCATGTGAGGCTGTGTGAGCACAGAGGTGCCTCTGAATTGTTTCAGAGCACCCCGTGGCAGCAGCACCTCCCTCTGGGGTCCCCCTCATCCCAAACCTTCCCCAAGTCTGGGAAGTTTGGCAGGGATAGAAGAAAGAGGAAAATCTCATTTTATCATCCTCCTTATTTCCCTTGCTCTGTCGGCAGGGACAACTCCAGCCCTGCCATGTGTCACTAGTGTGATATTTGCATTTGCAAATCAAACAGGTTAATTTACGCTAACCTGTCCCCATCAGCTCTTGTTAAAACACTGCACTCCACACCTGCCCCAGCACTGAGGCCCCACTGCACCACGACAGCCTCAGCTGCAGCTCCCCTTTGGCACAGCCTGGCACCAGCCTGGCCATGGCTCGGCGCGGCGGCTCTGGCTCAGTCCCGCTGGCACAGCGTCACCACTCGCCCCTCACACAGCCAGAACACGGGGTACAGGGGCTCCGTGAACACGCTGTGGAAGGAGTGGATGAGTTTTGTCCTCTCCCCGAGGCCGTAGAAGGAGAGAAGCCCCTTGCCATAATCCAGGCTGACCCCCAGGTTCTTATAGAGCTGCTCCTGGATTTTCTGGGCGCGGCCCTCGTGCCAGGCCAGGTAACAATCCTCCCTCACCTGCAGCCCCCAGGAGCCCCCATCCAGGCCGATGTTGAACCTGTGGCCCTGCTGCTGCTCGTGGGGCAGCCCCCGGTAGGTGACCCCCAGGATGACGGAGTGGCTGGAGATCTTCACCTCCCAGTAGTGGCGCCCGGGGCCGCAGCTCTGCGTGCACAGCACCTGCCAGGGCTGGAAACGGGGGCCCTGCCCCTGCCCAGGGACCCTGCCAGCACGGTGCTTGGCTCTGTGGGCACCTTTGGACACCTCCAGGTACCTGTTGGCTGTCTCAGAGTCGAAGGTCAGGTTGCGGTGGTCTGGGGGAACAAGGGCACGGATGGAGCTGAAATGGTTCATCAGACCTTTGTGCCCCCCCCCAGCAGTGATGGGGTTTAAATTCTGTAGGGCTGGCTCCCAAAATGGAAGGGAACAGGTTGTTTGGAGGGCAAGGGTAGTGGGGAGGATGCAAAACCTGTCGTAGAGGGAATGGAAAAGCCCAGAAATAGCTGTTGAGGCAATGAGACACGATGCCTTGCACAGTCCTTGCACAACCCAGCTCACAACTGAGTGGCCATTGTGACCACAGTGGCTCTGTGGCCATTTTGGCAGGGTTGTGCTTGGTTTTAAGAGCAAAAAGTACCAGTGCGGGTTGGGAGAGGGGGAGAAAACCAGGTGTTTAGTGAGCAAATATGGTATTGCAGGGAGTTACTCTCCTCTGCATGGGCTGTGATAGCTCCTGCCATGGGCATTCCCTGGCCACCAGCACCTCACCTTCCTCCCCCAACACCTGGGCCTGGCAGCTGGCTGGGCTCCTGCCCATAAATAACAGGGGGTTCCTGTTAATAACCCTAAGAAGGCTCTGTGGGACCTGAAGGAAGGAATTCCTACAGGTCCCATAATCAGCAATAGTGACGTGACCAACATGGCATAACTCAAACCTCTTCCCAACAGGGAGGAGATGGGAAGAGGAGCACAGAGGAATTTCCTAAAAGCAGGAGAGGGCTGGCCTGGGGAGCAAAGGGGACATGAAGGACTGCAGCTAGGAATGCTGAGGCCATATCCCTGGACAGAGAGCAGTGACTGCAGGCAGGGCTCTGGGGCTCTGCCATGCAGGGCAGTGACTGATCCAACACCAGACAGCCCCAGTTCCATGGGAAAGCACTTCCTGGTGCTGCTAATCCCCCATGTGGGTCCTTTCCCATCCCAGCCCATCCACCCTGCCCCTACACCACCCTTCTCTCATTGAGGGAGACACATTGGAAGAACCAGGACAGGAGCCCCTGTCCCTGCAGCCACAGCCACCCTCCTCCCGGGAAGGAGCCTGGCTTGGTGACATCTCTTCCTGCTGGGGACCCCAGGGAGGTGCTGTCCCTGCAGCCCCCTGTGCTCCTTACCCTTCAGAAGCTCAGCTCGGAGCTGGCACTTGGGGAGAGGGGCCACAGCCTTCACTGCCAGCTCCTGGGCATGCTCTGGCTCTGTGGAGGATGGAAACAGGCTTTTGGAGCAATGCCACCCAAAAATTCTTTCTTCCTGGCTTCATGGGAAGAAAAGGAGGAGGAGGAGGAGAAGGAGGAAGTCCATTGTATCCAAACCTGGGAGCAGCCATGTGCCACCATGGTTCAGCATTCCCAGCAAGGAGGGGCCACAGGGAGGCCACCCATTCATGCCACTCCATCTGCTGACCAGTAAATGTGTGTCCCATCCCAAACCCCTGTGCCCAGCAGCTGTGTCCCCAGCAGTGACACAGGCCAGGCTCATCTCCAGCACAACTCAGAGCCCTTCAAAGTGCCCCTGAGAGCAGGAGGGTTACCTGGGCCAGCAGGGCTGGGGGCTCTGGGGGTCACACAGCCAGGCAGGTCCTCCAGCAGGAGCCTGGAGATGCTGGTCAGGATCTCAGAGATGGGCTTGATCACAGCAGCCACATCAAACTCCACGGGCACCAGCACCTCTGGGCTCTCCAGAGGTGGGAGCAGGGGGAACTCCTGCAGACAGACACACAGACACCATGCACCAGTCTGGGGAGGACTCTGCAAACCCATTTGCATTCACTATGTCTCCCAGGGGGCAACAGGGGCATGCCAGCATTGCCCACACAACTTTTCAGGGATCCCCATAAACAGCTCATCCCCGCAGCCCCATCACATCCCTGAGCCAAAGTGAGGACGTGTCCCCAGTGGGAATGGGTTGGACACGATCCTGCTGCCATCAGAAGGGGAGGACACAGTGCCAGGGTGGTACCTGCAGGAAGGTCCTGTGCTCAGGGCAGGCCAGCAGGCTCTCAGCCCTCTCCCTGTGCTGCCCAAGGACATCCAGGCGCTCCCTGCACAGGTCCCAGTTCTTGCCCACACGCTCCAGTGCTGCACTCTGCTCCTGCTCAATCCTGGCCACTGTCTGACGCTGCAAATCCTCCAGAGCTTTCCTCAGGTGGGTGAATTTGCTCTGGATCCCATCTTTGAGCTCGGAGCAGTCCTGGGCAAGAAGAGCCATGAGAACCAGGATGCTCCCCTCCACAGGCCAGCACAGGGAGGCTGCAGTGTTACCTTGATGCTCTCTGTCTGCACCTCCAGCTCCTTCATTGTCTGCTCAATCCTCTCTGCTTCCTCCTGGGCTTTTTCCAGGGATTCTTTCAAAAAGGTCTGTGAAAGGAGGCACAGAATAACATAGAACAGTTGGAAAAGTCCTCCAAGATCATCGAGTTCAGCCTATGACTGAACAGTCTCAACTAGCCCAGAGCACTGAGTTTCACAGCAGTCATTTCTCCAAGTCATGTCCAGTTGTACATGCTGTGGAAAAGCCCAATGCTGCCCACCTGGCCCCCAGGACCCTCTCAGGGCTGCAGGACAAGCCTAACAGGGAAGGAGGCAGCTTGGGAAGGGGACTCTGTGTCAGGATAACAAAGAAGTGATTTTTTGTGCTGACCTTCACCCTGTTTTTAGCTGTTTCCTCTAGATCAGAGGGTAACAAATGTGAAAAACGCCAACCACTTGTTTGTAAAATTTTAAAAGATTAATAGTAATAAAATGGTTATAAAAATAGTAATACAATTAGAGTAATAATAATTTGGACAAATTGAATTAGGGCAATATGAGACAATAAAGACAAAGAGTTAGGGACGTCTGGGTACCTTTTTCTGGGCAGCACGAGCCTGAAAAAGGACCCACGTTAACAAAGGATTAACCTTTAAAAACAATAACCTGTTGCATATTCATACACCTCATACATGATGCATAAATTCCATTCAAACACAGGATTCTGTCCGGTCATTGTCAACTTCTTCCTTCTAATCCTAACAGCGCCTTCGAGGCAGGAAGAAGTTAGTTTCTACTGATAAGAGGGCAAAAAATAAATTATTTTTCTCTGAAAGATTTAGGTGTCCTGTGGCTGCTATCTGGTGCGAGTGCCTCATTCCTTTCTTAAAAAATCCCACTAACATAGTTCTTATTTTAACTACAAAAGTTACCTTTTAATTACAAGACTACATCTATTATTAAAATGTTAATACAGCACAATGCATACAGGAAATATCTGTGTAGAGCCATATAATATGCATTTTTCACCACAAACACACAGGGCCCCGTTCATCTCATGCTGCTGGATTTACCCAGCTCACTGCTGCTCCTGACAACACCTGGTTCCTCAAGGAGCAGCCAGGCACTGGTGGCACCTCCCTGGCCAGCCCCTGTCCAGCTGAGCTGGGCAGTCTGGCACAGTCGGGCACCATGTCCCTGCAGGATGTCGTGTGTGCCCGAGCTGTCACAACACCCCCCTGCTCCCCCATGGCCCCAGCTGTGTCACCCACTGTGGGAGGGTCAGGGGGTAGGATGGTGGGGATGGATGGAGACGAGAGATCTCTGCAGCCAGGTCTGGAACTTGGGGTTCATTGCAAAGGGCCTGGGTGCAGGGCCCTGCTGGGAGCTGCCAGCCACAGCTCAGAGCAGGCCCAAAGAGGAAGAGAGAGAAGGCAAGAGCATGGTAAAGAGAGAATGAGAGAGTAAAAGAGAGGATCAGAGGGCAAGGTTCCTGTTACAATACAATAAATCTTCTTCTGGTTGTGGAATTTGGGGTTTATTGCAAAGGGCCTGGGTGCAGGGCCCTGCTGGGAGCTGCCAGCCACAGCTCAGAGCAGGCCCCAGAGAAGAGAGGGGGAGAGAGGATGAGAGGGTGAGAGAGTAGAAGGGGTAAGAGAGCAAAGTTCCCGTTACAATACAATAAATCTTCCTCTCTGTTGAATATTCTGATTTTCACTAACCAATCTAGTACAACATACAAATCCTACAGTATTTACATACAGCCTATAAGAATCACTACATTACCATACTGTGTTACATTTTAAACCCTAAAAACTCCTCTTTGGGCCCCTTCTGCCAAGCTGGCAGGGTTTGCTCTGACCCTTGGGCCTGTCTGCAAGCAGAGGGTGTTGTTCCATCAAAAGGGGATTACCTTCAGCCAGCCACACACTGTTTTCCAGTCATTCAGTAACTAAGCGATCTCAAAGCTTGCTTTCATTTCAATCTCACTTATAGTTTCCATATTCCCAAAATCTTTTGCCAGACAATCATATTTATAAGGCTTTCCTGTTTCATCTCCCTCAACAACCCCCCCACCTGCTTTCTGGCTCTCTCCTCCTCGAAGAGCACCCTGCGGTGCGGGCGGCAGTCGCGCTCGGTGCAGATGCAGCAGATGCAGCGCCGCTCGTCCAGGCAGAAGAGCTCCAGGGGCCGCCCGTGCCGCGGGCACAGCTCGGCCGGGGCCGCCTGGCTCCGGTTCCCGGCACAGCCCCGCTGCTCGCCGTCCCGGGCCAGCTCCACCACGCCGTGCAGGGTGACGTTCTTCTCCAGCTTCGGGCACGGCTCGAAGGGCCTGCGGCACTCGGGGCAGGTGATGCTCGGCTCGGGCTCCTGCCTTTTCTTGGCCCAGTGGTCGCTGATGCAGTCCCTGCAGAAGTTGTGGCCGCAGGGCAAAGTCACGGGCACCTTGAACAGCTCCAGGCAGATGGAGCACACCAGCTTCTCCTCCAGCTTCTGCGACATGGCCGATGCCATCCTGCCCGGCCGGAGATCGGGCGAGGCGCCGGGAAACAGAAAAAACAGAAACTCGTGAGCGCGGAGGAGGAGGAGGAGGAGGAGGAGGAGGAGGAGGAGCAGGAGCAGGAGGAGGAGCAGGAGCAGGAGGAGGAGGAGGAGGAGGAGGTGACGCTGTGCCCAGAGGCGGGGCAGGGCTCCCGGCCACACTCCTGAAGTGACACCCGCTGGCTGTCCCCTGGTCACACTTACCGCCGGCTGGGGGTATTTGTACAAATCACAAACGGGACGGGGCTGCTGTGGAACGTGCCTTGAGCTGGTTTATTTTCCAGCATCAGTCTCATTACATGGGTATGACAATGGGAAGATGGCAGCAGCTCACATCCCAGGCAGCAGACCAAGAACTTAATGGTACAACTTACTTTATAAGTTTTTTGACCAATCACACAAAGCAAAAGCACGTTGACAGTAGTTCTATCCAATCACTACAAGCACACATACCTTTGGTTAAACAATGCTTGCTTATTTTGAATACAATACCTGCTTGTGAGCCTTAAAACACAATGCACAGAGCTCCATTATTAAGTTTCAAACTTCCTAATATCTTGCTAGATAAACTTTTTTGTAGCTTAGAGAGTTATTCTAGACAAGCGTTAATACACAGACCATTGTTCTATTTGTCCTTGCTTTTCTACTTTTTAAATATGTGAAAAATGCATGTATTTTATGATCGGCTTTTTGCAAATATTAAAATGAATATAGTATGTGTTGTGTTAGAAAGCAATGCTGTATTAATTTTCTTAAGCACTGTGTTAAATATAGTTTTAGGTTATAAAAAAATTGTTAAAATAGAAACTATGCTATGTAAGATGCTTTGTTTAACAGAAAGGACTTGCAGCGAGATAGCAGCCACAGGACACCTAGATCCTTCAGAGAAAGGGAATTTATTGCCTTCTTATCAGAAGAAATGAACTTCTTCTGGCCTTGGAGGCGCTGTTAGGATTAGAAGGAAGAAGCTGACACTGACCAGACAGAATCCTGTGTTTGAATGGAATTTATGCATCATGTATGAGGTGTATGAATATGCAACAGGTTATTGTTTTTAAGGGTTAATCCTTTGTTAATGTGGGTCCTTTTTCAGACTCGTGATGCCCCCCAAAAAATGTACCCGGACATCTGTGACTCTTTGCTTTTTATTGTCTCATATTGTCCTAATTCAATTTGTCCAAATTATTATTACTCTGATTGTGTTACTATTCTTTTTAACTATTTTATTACTATTAACCTTTTAAAAATTTTAAAAACAAGTGATTGGCATTTTTCACAAATAATCTTTCTGCTGACCTATGTCATGGCTACTGCTTAGCCCTAATCACAGTCCTGCTGTCTCTGGGGCCTGCCTTTTGCAGCTTTCCCAAAACCCTCTGATTTTGTGGATTCCCACAGCCCTGGCTGTGCCCCAGGCTGCAGAGGGAGGGCTGCGAGGCACGGGGGGACACCCCAGAGAGGAGGGAATGCTGCGGTGACAGCACTGGGGGACACCAGGAGGCTGACAGGGATCAGAGCAATGTGTATTTCCATGAACATGTTTATGGAACATGGAATGCTCCATAAACATTCCATGTTTATGGAATCCATGTGCAATTGGATTTTCACTCCTTTATTGCCTTTTGAGGGAACTTCCAGGCATCTCAGCTCTGCCAGGGCTGGGTCCCTGAGCTGAGCATGGCAGGGTGTGACGGTGTTCACAGGGCTCCCAGGATGAGAGAAGAGACAAGGATCTGACTCCATGTTTCAGAAGGCTGATTTATTATTTTATTATATATATTTTATTAAAACTATACTAAAAGAATAGAAGAAAGGATTCCATTAGAAGGCATTTATTATGATTATAATAAATCTTGTGAATGACCAGAGAATCCAAGACAGCTGGACCATGATTGGCCATCAATTAAAAACAACCACATGAGACCAATCACAAATGCACCTGTTGCATTCCACAGCCGCAGATAACCATTGTTTACATTTTGTTTCTGAGGCCTCTCAGCTTCTCAGGAGGAAAAATCCTAATGAAAGGGTTTTCCATTAAATATGTCTGTGACAGCAGCTCCCCCTGGCACAGAGACCTCTGTGCAGAGCTCCAGCCTGGGAACAGCAGAGAAGCACCCACTGCTGCTGCTGTGGCCACATGTCCCCTCCCTGTGCCCTGGCAAGGCTGTGGCACAAGGCTGTGGCACACACCAGCACCACGTTCTTCCCTTGCATCTCCTAAACCACAGCTCCTGCAGTTGGCATGTCCCCATGCACACCCACCACACCTTTTCCTACGAATTTCCTTGCAACACCCGTGCACATCAGCAGCCCGAAACAGAATAAAGATGCCACCTGCGCCACCTGTCCCTGCTCAGGTGGAATCTCCTGCCCAGAGGCTGGTGCCTGTGCACTGCAAACCTTCCCCTCGTTGTCACAGTTCAGTTTCAGTTTACCCAGCCCAAGCCTTATCTCTGTGCCAGGCCCATGTGTTATCTTGCTCCTGTTCCCAGCCTTGTTTTTCCAGCCACCCTTCATGAGCAGCTTCCCTTTCACCTGCACAGGTGAGGGCAAGCAGGGAGCAGCTCTCTGGTGGATCATCCACAGCAGCTTCCCTAGCACAGGCAGGGTCCGCCACCCCCCTGAGCACAGCAGAGCACTTGGGATATGTCACAACTCCCTGCATGTCCCAGCAAGCTTCAGCTCCAAAACATTCCTTTGGGCTGCAGCTGTCAATTCTGACCAAATATTTAAAGCCCAGAGAGGCTAGCACGACCTGTGTGTCTGCCTGGAACCTGTGTCCCCAGCGCGGGCACCTCCCCAGTGCACTCAGCCCAGCTTAAACCAGACCCCAGCACCCTTCAGGCTGGGGAGGAGCTCTGGGGTAAATGGTAACAGCCCTGAGCACAGGCACCAGGGGGGCACTTCAGCCCCATCTCAGCTCTTTGCTGAAGGCTCCAATTTCCAATGGTAGAAGGAACCTCAGAAAAAGGGAACCAGAGACTTTGTGCAGGTTTACCACCTGTGCAGCCTCATGTGGAAACCCAGGGCACCACAGGGAATATTTCTGTGTCTGCTCTGGGATGCCCTGACCCCTAGGGGAGCACTGATTTTGACCCTCATTCATGCTGAAAGTTTCCTGGACTTTAAGATAAGCTAGAATCCACAAAAGTGTGAAATAGATTATAGAGAGCAGTGTAGGTGTATCACTGGGTGAGAAATTGAGGTTTTGGGATTTTTAGTGTGTTGTGGATGGAAGCAAGATGGAGGGCACAGGGTGTCATCCTGGGTTTCTTCTTCATGCTTCTTCTTCCTCCTTCTTCATGGGTTTGGGTGGCATTTTGTAATTGGGTGGAAAAGTCCCCATTGCAGCTCTTTGGGATCAGTTATTGGGTTAAAAGCGAAAATAATCTAGGTGTCAGTTCTTAATTGGATAATTTAATCTTAAAAGACCTTGTACCAAGAGATTGTTGGCCATTTTGTGCCTTCTAATGAAAAACTGCTGAACCCACAGTAGTGAGACTGTTGTACTGATAAGAAATAATAAACCCCTGAGTCTGAACACGAATTACTGTCTCAAGTGCCTTCAATCCAGACCCAGAAAAACCAACAACTGGTACCCCCAACAGCCACGCTCTTCCCAAACTACAATATCCAAAAAGAGAAGTGGCCTGGCCAGTGAAGGGCTGCCCATCTCCCCTGCACCCTGCTGGGCTCCCCAGCTCTGGGCCAACTGCCCAGGGTAACAGGCTCTTCCCAATAAAGACAGCTCTGCCAGCACTGCTCAGAGAGTGTTTAATCAGACTCATCTCTCCAGGAGGACTGCACAAATAAAATCTGACACAGTCCAGAACCACAGCACTGTGAGAGGTGGAAATCCAGGCTGGCCTGGCTCTGTTTGCTCCATAAACAGGCAAAAGGAAAACTGTGAACCTTGCAGGGAAGCAAGGCAGAGCATCTCTGGGGAGATGCAGTCTGCCCAGTCATTGCCAGCTCTGCTGCAGAATCAGGAGCAAGGTTTCAGCCTGGCTATGGATTCACTTTGAATGTTCTTGTTAAGCAGCTGCCAGCCCTGTGAGCACCCAACACCAGCTCCCAGCACAGGGGAACTGGGAGCTGAGACTTTGTCTTTTCCCTCCTGAGGCAGTAAGGGGAGCACAGGAAATCCAGGAGGCAGCATCCCAGGGCCACAGAGGGGACAGCTGCTAGTAGATGCCATAGGTGGGCTCCTGTGTGTCCCGGTACCTGTCCAGGTACCTCAGGGGCTGGTGCCGAGGGAACTTCACCTGTGGAGGGTGGAACGGGGGCGGCCGCACGAACTCGAACACCGGCTCCCTCATGTCTGCAGAGAGCCACAGGTCAGCAGGGGCTCACAGCTGAACCCCACACTCCCCCCCTCACCACACAGGGCAGGGCTGCTCAAACGTGCCCTTGGAGTTGTTTTAAAATCCTCAGCCAAGGGTTAGGGGTTGCTCCTTCAGTTTGGAGGAGGATGGCTCAGGAAGGGCTTAGTCTGTGCTGATCCTGGGCAAGTGCCAGGAGCAACTGAGAGCCTGCAGCCACAGGCTGTCCCACCCACAGACCCCCTCCAGTGTCCCCATTCCTTACTGAGCAGCTGATGGAAGGTGGAAGTGACAGAGCTGTCCCACTGACACTGGAAAAATGCCAGCCCTGCCGGGGTCATGGCATCCTTATGCTTTCTGTAGAAGTCAAACGTGCTAAAGGTTCTCATCTTCAGGCTGTAGCTGGAAACAAGACACAAGCAGCAGGTGAACCTCTCCTTGCAGCAAGTACCCTGCTCCCCATCACCCCAGGGCAAATCACAGAGGTGGAAAAGGAAGCCACTAAGAGGAAATCTCCCTTTTAGTGGCTTCCTTAGTGTCTCCAGCTCCGTGCACATTTCTAGGCAGGACAAACCACTCTCTAACATCCTGTTCTGCAACAACAGGACTCTGCAGCACTGGGACTGTGGCTGCACAGGACACACAAACCAAAGCAGCCCTGGAGAACTCTGCAGAGTGACAGGAGCTGCTCCTCTAGTGCAGGGACAGGCACACAAACCCCACAAGCAGCAGCAGGAGCCAAGGGCAGCAGCAGCAGAGGAATTACCAGGGCATGGGCCGAGCATCCTGGCTGAAGTCGATGGGACCGTGTTGCTTGAAGAGCAGGAAGATGAAGCGGTGATAGCCTGTCCCCATGGCAGGGAAGGGGGGCAGGTAGTGGCACATCTCCTTACCAGCCTTGATGTCACTGCCTGGGATGTTTGTCCTGAACACAAACACATTTACACGCATTTCCCTCCAGCGGATTCATCCAGGACTGCAAATCCCGCTGCCATGCTGTGATGTGATTTTTGCCCCATTTGATAAGGGAACAGATAACAGAGATTGCTGTCACCACAAGAAAAATCCCACCCAGTGACTGGAATGCTGAACAGCAGCAACATCTGGAACTCCTGCATCTTTGGCAGGACCCAGAACACAGGGCTAAAGGAGCTGATGGCAGGAGCACCAGGAAAAGCCATGGATTCTGAGCTGCTGGAGGAGTTTCTGCCCAGCCCACAAGCACAGAGCGCCTGGCTCTGATGTACTCACACCAGCCAGTGGAGGTACTCCGAGTCTGCATCCCTCAAATGTCCATCTGCCAACACACAACAGGGAAAAGGGACTTAGGGACACCCTGGTGCCAGCATCCACCCCAAAGTGAGAGTGCCCAGACCTGCTTTGACCAGAGGAAGCAGCTCAAGACCTCCCAGCATTCCTTCCCCAGCAGAAAAGGAACTCAATCCTATAGGACTGAGTTTAAAACAAGGAGCAAAGAAGTCTGCAGATCTAATTCCAAGATTCTTGAAATCTTCTTGGGCAGCTGTATCCATCACTATGCCTTGGTCTCTCAGGGTGAACACTGTCAGCAAAGCTGCCTTCCAGGCAGACTGCCAAGGAAGAGGAGTTTGGAGGTAACAAAGATGGGAGTCAGGAAATTGTTTCCTCTATAGTGAGACACAGATCTTGTTGTGTCACTGTCCCTTCTCTCAATTGCTACAGATTTGGGGAGGCTACAATCTTTCCTCCATATGTAACATGTCCCAGTCTAACAGATATAATCATAGAATTACAGCACAGTTTGGGCTGGAAGGGACCTTAAAGTCCATCCCATTCCCTGCTATAGGTAGGGACACCTTCCACTAAACCAGGCTGCTCCAACCTGGCCTTGAACACTTCCAGTGTTCATTATATCCGTGGAGCCAAAAGAATCAGGAGTTAACCAAAAGCTGAGTGAAACAACCCAGTTTAAACACGTTCCTTTAAAGAACTCACTGCTCACCTGGATTTGTGAGCAACAAGGTCCAGAGGGAGCCTTTGTCTGCCTCATATGACACTTCAGGGGGACTGGAAGCCTAAAGGAGAAACACAAAGAGAATGCAAATCACTCACACAACAGCTCCCATGAACTGTGTCTGGGCAAGGCTGGGACACAACACAGGGCATAAATAACCATCAGCCTCCTGCCAGACAGCCTACAATCTCTGTCCCTATCACATCCATAAAGTATTTTCCTTCAGCACAAAAGAAACACCCTTGTAAAAAGCATCCCCTGGAACGCCCCATGCCCATTGGAAGAATCTGGCAGAAAGAGGCTTCCCAGGGGCTCCAAGTTGTTCCCAGCTCCCCTCACGCACCTCTGATGGAGTCACCATGTTCCCATAGTAGACTGGCACGAGGTACTCGTCCTCCTGGCTGTAGTGCACCCTCAGGGCCACCCAGGGGGTGAAGGTGGCTCCCCTGAACAGGTCCCGGAACAGCCCGCAGTGCTCGGCCACGCGCTGCTTGTGGAACGGGCCGCTGGTCCTCTCCCACTCAGCCCTGACCTCATCGAGGGGAATGAGCACTGCAAGGACAGAGGGAGGATGCAGAGGCGGCAGGGGGACACCCAGAGCAGCTGGAGCAGGAGGGGAGGTGCTGGGCACTGACCGGTGCGGAGCCGCGCCGCCCGCTCCATCTCAGCATTGCGGCGGTTCTCCCTCAGGATCCTCTTCCTTTCCTTCAGCTCCTCTGCCCGGGACAGCCTCTCACGGGGCAGGCCAATGTCTGGCTGGGGCTCTTCAGGGAGGGGTGGAAAGAGAGCAGGTGAGACATGGGAGCACCCAAACCACACAAACACAAACCCCTGTGAAGAGCCTGAGAGTGTGAGACAGACTCCAGAGATCAAGATCACAGAAGGGTTTGGGTTGGGAGAGGTTTGGGTTGAAGACCATCCACTCCCACCCCTGCCATGGACAAGGACACCTCCTGTGGTATTCACATGCCCTCTGAACAGAGAAAAGAATGATTAAAACTATTCTTAACTCATTTGCTGCTCCTGTGTTTGTGCTCATGTGGAATGTTCTGGAGATTGTTTACCCAACGTGATTCCTTGATTGGATTCTGGTGGAATTGTTTATGTTAATTAACCTATCACGTCCAAGCTGTGTCCTGACTGTCAGGAGATGGTCAATAGTTTTTGAGTAGTATTTTTCAGTAATTAGTAGTATAGTTATAGTATAATAAAATGTAATATAGTATAGTTTTAATAAAGTGCGTGTTCAGCATTCCAAAGCCTTGGAGTCATTCCCAGATGTTGGGGTTGCCTGATTTTTGATAACCTCCCACTAGAAAAGACCTGAAAGGACAATCAGGACTTGATTCTGTCCCCTCTGCACCTCCTTCCCCAGCTCATGGCCCTCCCATTCCCAGCTGTGTTTTCTGCTGCAGGCCTGAAGCTCTGGCTCCTTGTCTGCTCTGTGGCACCACTGGGGCTCCAAGGAATCCCCTCTTTGCTCTGTTGTGGTGTTGTGAGGTCCCCAGGACGAGGTGAGAGATGACAATTTGACTCCATGTTCTCAGAAGGCTGATTTATTATTTTATGATGTTATATTATATTAAAAGAAATTATATACTACAACTATACTAAGGAAAGAGAAAGGATACATCAGGAGGCTGAACAAGAATAATGATGAAAGCTCATGACTGACTCCTCAGAGTCCAACACAGCTGATGGCGATTGGTCATTAATTAAAAACAATTCACATGGAACCAATCAAAGATGCACCTGCTGGTAAACAATCTCCAGACCACATTCCCAAACAATCAGATAATTATTGTTTTCATTCTTTTCTGAGACTTCTCAACTTCCCAGGAAAAAATCCTGGGCATAGAGGATTTTTCAGAAAATATCATAGTGACACTCTGTTTCATTTGGCAGGCCCTGGCCAGCCCCTGTTGGGGGAGATGAAACAGGAAAGCCTTATAAATATGATTGTCTGGCAAAAGATTTTGAGAATATGGAAACTGTAAGTGAGATTGAAATGAAAGCAAGCTTTGAGATCCCTTAGTTACTGAACAACTGGAAAACAATGGTGTGGCCAGCTGAAGGTGATCCCCTTTTGATGAAACAACACCCTCTGCTTGCAGACAGGCCCAAGGGTCAGAGCACACCCTACAGCTTGGCAGAAGGGGTCCAAAGAGGAGTTTTTAGGGTTTAAAATGTAACACAGTATGGTAATGTAGTGATTCTTATAGGCTGTATGTAAATGCTGTAGGATTTGCATCTTATACTAGATTAGTTTGTGAGAATTAGAATATTCAACACAGAAGAAGATTTATGGTATTGTAATGGGAACCTTGCTCTCTTTCCTTCTTGCTTTTATTCTTTGCTCTCTCTCTGTCTTTGGGCCTGCTCTGAGTTGTGGCTGGCAGCTCCCAGCAGGGCCCTGCACCCAGGCCCTTTGCAATAAACCCCAAGTTCCAGCCCTGGCTACAGAGATCTCTCATCTCCATCCATCACCACCATCCCACCCCCAACACTCCTACAAGCCTCTCTCCCTGTGGATTGTCACAGACATCTTTTGTGAAGAATCCTTTCTTTAGGATTTTCCCCTTTCTGGGAAGCTGAGGCCCCAGAAGAAGAATGTAAACACTGGTTATCTGCTGCTGTGAAATGCAACAGGTGCATCTGTGATTGGCCCATGTTGCATGTTTACAATTAAGGGCCAATCAAAAACCAAGCTTTCTCTGGGACAGATGAGAGAGAGCTCCTTTTGTTTATTCACTCCTATTCTATTCTTAGCTTAGCAGCTTCTGAACTTTTCTTTCTATTCCTATTAGCATAGTCTTAATGTATTATAGATCATAAATTAACAAATCCAGCCTTCTGATCATGGATCAAGATTCTCATCTATCTCTTCACTGCTGAAAGACCCATGCAAGCAAGGTAACAGTGGAAAACCCCTTTTCCATGAGACCCTGCAGAGGGCACAGAGGCTGTGGCAGAGCCCTGGGGGTGCCCTGTGACCCCTTTTCCCTCAGCCCCTGCCCTCTGCAGAGGGCACAGGGGCTGTGGCAGAGCCCTGGGGGTGCCCTATGACCCCTTTTCCCTGAGCCCCTGCCCTCTGCAGGGGGCACAGAGGCTGTGCCAGAGCCCTGTGACCCCTTTACCCTGAGCCCCTGCCCTCTGCAGGGGGCACAGAGGCTGTGCCAGAGCCCTGTGACCCCTTTACCCTGAGCCCCTGCCCTCTGCAGGGGGCACAGAGGCTGTGCCAGAGCCCTGGGGTGCCCTGTGCCCCCATACCTGCGGGGGGGTCGCTGTGTTTGCGGTAGGTGTTCCACCAGCGCGGCTCCCGGCCCGCCCGCTCCGCCTGCCGCAGGTAGCGCGCGAAGCTCCGGTACCGCTGCAGCTCCTCCAGCCTCGCCACGTCCACATCCTCGTTGGGCATGGGCCCCAGAGGGGCTGCCCTCTTCCAGAACACGGCTGGGGGGGGAAACACACGTCCCAGGGGGTGAGAAGTGGGGAAATGAGCCAGGGATGGGCACAGCACAGACAGCGCCAGAGCCATCCCCGCCGCCCACAGGCACGGTCATGGAGTCAGGGTGGGTGAGGCTGGAAGGGACCAGAGACACCTGATCCCACCTCCCTGCTCCAGCAGCCTCAGCCTAGGGCACAGAGCACAGAACCGTGCCCAGATGGCTCCAGCAGGCTCAGCCCAGAGCACAGAGCACAGAACTGTGCCCAGATGGCTCCAGCAGGCTCAGCCCAGAGCACAGAGCACAGAACTGTGCCCAGATGGCTCCAGCATCCTCAGCCCAGAACACAGGATTGTGCCCAGATGGTTCTGGAATGTCCCCAGTGAGGGAGACCCTTGCTGGACAATCTGTTCAGGGCTTGGGCACTGCACAGGGAAGCAGTTCTGCCTCACACCCAGGTGGAATTTCCTGGGCATCACTCGGTGTCCGTGGCCTCTGGTGCCATTGCCGGGCCCCTGGAGTGGAGCCTGGGCCCTGCTCTGCCCTCCCTGCAGACAGGGACACACAGGGACGGGCCCCTCTCAGCCCCAGCAGCCTCAGCCTTTCCCCAGGACAGAGCTGCCCCAGCCCCCAGAGCATCTCTGTGCCCCTCCACAGGACCTGCTCCAGGAGCTCCGTGTGTCCCATCCCGAGGAGCCCAGAGCTGGACACTGCTCCAGGGGAGGCCTGGCCAGGGCTGGGCAGAGGGGCAGCATCACCCCTGACCTGCTGGAAATGCTCTCCTAACGCACCCCGGGACACCAGTGCCCTGCTCGTGCCCAGTGCTGCTCATGGACGGCTCCTTGGCCACCAGGAGCCCCAGCTCCTTCCCCACAGAGCTGCTGCTCCAGGCACTGAGTCCCGGCCCGGGCTGGTGCTGTTCCTCTGCAGGTGAAGGGCCCTGCACTTGCCTGTGCTGAACTTTGGGCAGTTCCTCTCTGCCCTCCTCCCCAGCCTGCCCAGGTCCCTCTGAAGGGCTCACAGCACCCTGGGCCATGGGCACCCTCAAACAACACTGGGTCCAGTATTGAACCTTGGGGGACACCATCAGTGACAAGGCCTGGCGTTCGGGACACAGCCGTCCGAGAGCACCCTCCCCTTCGCCGCCCGTTCCCCAGTGGGTTTCGGGGCTCCCCTGCTTCTCCCGTCTCTCACCGGCCGTTCCGAAGCTCCGCCCGCCGCGGGCCCCGCGAAGAGCCGCGCTCAGCAAGGGCGCCGCCATGTTGTGCGCCGCGCTCAGAGAAGGACCCCGTTGCCATCGTGATGGGCGCTGCGCCGCGCAGGCAGGCCGGGCTCGGAAGGCCCGCCCGCCACGGGGCTGTCCCACGTGGCGCCTGACTCGGATGGGGCTGCCCCGGTACTGCCTGATTAGAAGAGTCCCCACAGCCGCCGCTCTTCCCTCGCCGCGGGCTCCCCATCCCCGCCCTTGCCCTACTGAGGGAAGTGTCCCAAAGCTCCTTTGTGCCGCGGGCATGTCACACCCAGGACAAAGCCAGCCCTGCTCCTGCCTTGTTTGTACTGGAGCAATCCCTGGGAACCCTCTGTCTCTGGAGTTTCTAACCCGCACCCCTCCTGCCGAGGCTTTCCCCTCACAACCATCTGCCTTTGGAGTTCATAACCCGCACCTCTCCTGCTGAGGCTTTCCCCTCACACGCTGCCAGCCCTGGGCACACGGGCTCCGTGTGAAGCTGTCCCCAGAAGACGGCGGGTTTAGGAGTCCATGGCTCCCTCAGGCCATCCCACAGTGTGAAATACAAAGCTGTGTTTCGTGTCAGGTACAAACAGGCGATCTGTGTATTTGTAAATGCGAAATGTGTGGACCCCGACAATGGGAGAGCTGTGAATTCTAATAATAACTGAGGAAAATAAAGCATGGAAAATAGGCCTTTGAACTCATCTTTTGTTTGCAATTAACCCTGGTTGATTTAGGAGCATTGGAATTAAAGTGTTAAAGACGTTGCTTTTTGCTTGCATTTAATCCATAAAAAGCTCTGCAATAATAACCTTTTGAAGTATAATTTTAGAATATTACTTGTATCCTTGAAATTATGGCTTTGGAATATATATAAAGGAAATATGCTTATCTCATGCCTTATTGAAGCAGAGAAAAACAGCTTGAGAAAGGAAGATGAACATCACCTCAAGGGTTTATGGTGTCGACCAAAGGGAAGCTGGACATCACTGTTATGAGATTTAGAGTCTCTGCAATTAAAAGGTGGACACACATCTGGGGAGCTGGACCCCACCAGATGGGATTCGTCTTTCTTCTTTCAGAAACTGGATCATCACCATCTGGGGATACTCCTTTGAGATACATCTGAGAAATTAAAATCACAATAGTGTACAGAATTGTGATGTAATAATTTGGAATAAAAATTGCTGATGAATAAAAAAAATTGGAAATAGAAACTGCTGAAAAAAACTGATGAGTACCCCCTGTAAATACCTGTAACCATCAATTATCAGTGTGCAGTTGGAGGGAAAACTTCCCCCACTGTACCCAGCGCTGTATTGCTCATACTTTACCACATTAAATAATAAATTGATTGCTGCTTGAATATTGGCCTAGTCAAGCTTCTTATTAATAACATGTCTTTACAAACAAGCTGTGGGTCTGCTGGTAGATAAAGCTAGCGCTGGGAAATAAACAGTGGGAAGGATTTCACTGATTGATGAATGGAAAAAGATATTTGCTTTTACAAATAAACTGTAGGTTTGCTGATAAATGAAATTAGACATTGAAAGATGAAAGAAACAATGGACAAGAAAAACCCCTAAATTCCGTAAGAATTAAAAATGAAAAGGGAGGGTTGTAGATTAGACGGAAATCTTCGGTACCAGGCATTCAGGGAAGTCTGAACCTCTCAAGTACCTCAGAAATGGGGAAAGAGAGAAAGGAAATGTGACTGGGAAATTGGGATAAAAAGGAGGCTGCGTCCTCCAAAAACTTGAGAGACCTCCGGGGAATGCCCCATGGCCTCTCCCTTTATTCTAATGAAGCCAAAAAAGGACTCCTCTGTCTCCTTTTTGGCTGTAAACCTCTGGTGTTTGTGGATTAATTTTCCTAACAGTTGTTATATTGTAAAAGAGGTTAAAAGAGTAGTTATAAGAAATTACACCTCAGTAAAGTGCAGCACCCCCCAGCCTGGACAGAACTGTAATGGCCAATAGAGCGCCTTAAACCTTCATGCAAATGAAGGACCCCAAAAGAAACAAATCCAAAGGGACAAAACCAGGATAAAAAGGGGGATTTGACCCAGGGAAGCTGTGCTGTTCCCCTGGAACATCGGGGCCATCGCTGCTGAGCAGCCCCAGAGCCGGCGCTGCTCCATCCTTGAGGGAACGCTCCTGCTCAGCCTGGGCCCCTTGCTTTGGGCCTTTCTTTTATTATAACAAATGCTGAAATCCTTTAGCACTGGGAGCCTGCTCTCATGTTTAACATGTACTGTTAATTTGGTTGTTACATTGTAAAAGGGGTTAAAAGGGCAGTTATAAGAAATTACACCTCAGTAAAGTGCAGCACCCCCCAAAGCCAGCCTGGACAGAACTGTAATGAGCCAATCAAACGCCTTAAAAACCTTCATGCAAAGGGAGGATACAAACAGAATCCAATTCAGAGGGACAAACACAGGATAAAAAGGGGGATCTGACCCAGGGAAGCTGTGCTGTTCCCTGGAGCATTGATCATTGCTGCTGAGCAGCCCCAGCACCGGCGCTGTTCCATCCTTGAGGGAAGATCCTGCTCGGCCTGCGCCCCCTTGCTTTGGGCCTTTCTTTTTATTATAACAAATGCTGAAATCACTTTTGTACCGGGAGCCTGCTCTCGTTTTTAACACGTACTGTTAATTTGGTTGTTACATTGTAAAAGGGTTTAAAAGGGGAGTTATAAGAAATTACACCTCACTAAAGTGCAGCGCCCCCCAAGCCAGCCTGGACAGAACTGTAATGGCCAATAGAGCGCCTTAAACCTTCATGCAAATGAAGGACCCAAACAGAAACCAATCCAGAGGGACAAACACAGGATAAAAAGGGGGATCTGACCCAGGGAAGCTGTGCTGTTCCCTGGAGCATTGATCATTGCTGCTGAGCAGCCCCAGCGCCGGCGCTGTTCCATCCTTGAGGGAAGATCCTGCTCGGCCCGGGCCCCCTTGCTTTGGGCCTTTCTTTTTATTATAAAAAATGCTGAAATCACTTTAGTATCCCTTGCTTTAGGCCTTTCTTTTTATTATAACAAATGCTGAAATCACTTCAGCACCGGGAGTCTGGTTCCATTTTTAACAGCTTGGCACTGAAATTGTTCCTGCGCCTCAAGAGGCTCAGCACTCGTGGCAATGGCACCATTGTGTTGATGGAAAGGTGGATGAGGCTGCAGGGCAGAGTTTAAACACTGTTTGCTGACCCTGAGACACAGCAAACCACACCAGGTGTGGCATTCAGGCATTGCCACCAACCACAGCAAGGTGAGAAGTGTACAAAATCCTCACCAACAGCAAGGAAGGAAAGTGTTTCCCAATACATCAAAATACGAAACTGAAAACAACTCTCCTTCTCTCTGTTTCCATTTCTCCAAAAATGAATGGAAAACAGCTGTGAATTGAGGCTGCTGCTGCCCAGCCCCGTGGTCACACCTTGCTGTGGGCACTGATCAGCCCTTGCTGCTGTTGGAGCTGCAGTGACACCGAGCAAACGCCACAGCCAGCCCTGCCCTGTGCCAGCTGTGCTTCCCTGGGGCTGGGGCAGCAGGATGGGATCCCCTGGGATGGGACAGGAATCCCCATGACATCCCCACAGAACTGCAGAGCAAAGCCAGGGAGGCCACACTATATAAAACACCAAAATCCAGCTAATTTCAGGTCTTCTGAATACTTCATTCCCATTAATTTACATGAGATCCACTCATGGCAGTGTGTGAAAAGAAAGACATTTTGTCTGAAAACACATTTTTGTAATTTATTAGATCTGTACACAGCTAGTGCTGTTCTCATTAGCATATTTTTAACCTTTTAACCTCCATCCCCCCCTCCCCAGGCCAGCAGCCTGTTCCACTGGACACAGGGAAGGCAGAGCCCTCAGCCTCCTCTGGCATCCTGAACTTCCACAGGACCTGAAACACTCGGCAGCCAAAAGGCAAGTTTGATTAGTTTATTTAAAATTAAACATTTCTTTCTGTTTAGCTACTGCACGTGGAGCCAAACCTTGAGTCTGATCATTGTTAGTGCCAGAAAACTGATTCAAAATTAGACTAACAGAGCCCAAACCTGCAGAGAAGCAGCTTCTCAGGTGTTGCCTCAGAACTGCAGGATTTGGGTTCATGCTGAAGCTTTTAACAATTTTAAGCTCAGAGCTGCCCTTCTCTAGTGTGAAAAGGTTTTATGGTTACTGGACATGTTACTGGTGTGGAAAAGCAGCAATGATTTTGCTTGGTTGTAGTTGCTGCACTGATTTCCCTGGGCAGCAGGATGTTCTCCTCCAAGCTGATTTCTTCCTGTTCCATCAGACAGCAGCGTGCAAGGCCCAAGTCGGTATCAAAACAAAATTAAGCAAATCAGAGAAAGCTCCTTGGAAATGCATAGGCAGGAAAAATAATAAAAATCTGCACACTTCACTTGGGATTGTCATTTTCTTGACAAATGCCTTTAAAAAGCCAGGACAACATCCCAGAAAAATCAGAAGACCTGAGGACATTGGTCAAAACTGATTTCTGCCCTCCAATACTGGCTTCATCATTCCAGGTCAAATTTGCAGTTTTTACCACTACATGTGGTTTTTTCCCCACCAAATCAACATAAGTGACATTTGTAAAGTGCTTCAAGATAGTGCTTGAAAATGCTAAGAGTGAAAAGAGGGGCAGAACATCTGTTATCAGCACCCAGCTGATTACTGTGAGTTGGTTTTATCCTCAGAGCAGCATCACTATGTTCTCCTTTGACCTCCTATTAACCAAGAGCTGGCACAAAGGAAAAAGGAGTTTGTGCAGGGCAGTGAAAGAAGGAAAACAAAGGCAACACGAGGATTTCTTCAGGAAAGAGGCCTGAAGCAGAGCTCCAGAGAAGGATGGGTATTTACTTCCCAGATCCATCAGGAAAACACACAGACTCACATGCACAGAGCTCTGCAGGAGGCTTCACACAGCATAAACATAGGCCAAATGAGGAGAGAGGTGGGGCTAATTTAACAAAAAAAAAAAAAAAAGAAAAATTGAAAAATCAAGACACTGATGCT